AGCAAGAAATATTTTTTGGTTCCCATGATTGCTTTATCTACTGTTGTACTATGAAAGGTCATCTCCAATGGAAATTTGAAACTACCTGCAGGGTATATTCAACACCGTTTGCTTTCCATAACAAGTATAGCAATGAAATGTTGCTGGCAGCAGCATCTACTGATGGGAAACTATGGATCTTAGAATCTAAGAGTGGACAATTGCAAAGTAAATATGAACTTCCTGGAGAGGTATTCTCTTCTCCTGTGGTTTGGGAATCAATGCTTATTATTGGATGTAGAAATAATTATGTTTATTGTCTAGGCTTATTGGGTAGCAATAAAAAATAATCAGGTAGTCTTTATTAGAATATATCTGAGACTTTGAAAATATTTACCATTATAAAGCATGTGAATGGTCTTATTTTATGATAAAGATTATATTTTGTTTAAGAAACTTGTCTATTACTCTTTATTGGAGAATAACCATATTTTATTTCCTGGAGGAGAACAATATTTTAAAAGGAGTTATAAAACAAAACATCAATATATTTATAGCACTTTCTAAAATATACTACAGGTATTTTATTTTTTTTAATAGAAGACCTCTGGAAAACAAGATCAGAATATACTTATTGGCTTAAAAACTTAATCTGTGAGGTAATATACCATTCACGCATTTATACTGAGATTCATAACATGATTTTTAAAGGTAGGAGTTATTCATCAAATTACGTTCCTTATTATTTTAAATTTTTAAAATAAAATTGGGATAGCATTGGTTAATAACCTTATATAAATTACAGGGGTACAACTTTATGACATCTGCATACCCTATTGCGAGCTCACCACCTGAAGTCTAGTCTCCTTCTGTCACCATGTATTTGACCACCTTTACCCTCTTCATCTTTCCCCTCACCACCTTCCACTTTGGTAACCACCATTCTGTTGTCTGTATCTGTGAGTTTATTTGTTCATTTATTGCTTTTGGTTTTATATCCTTCATACAAGTGAAATCATACAATTTTTGTCTTTTTCCATCTGATTTATTTCACTTACCGTGTTTCCCCGAAATAAGACCTAGCACATGGAAAAATAAGACATCCCTGAAAATAAGACCTAGCGCATCTTTGGGAGCAAAAATCAATATAAGACACTGTCTTATTTTCGGGAAAACAGGGTAGTATGATTCTCTCAAGATTCATCTACATTAGGTCAAATGGCAATATTTCATCTTTTTTATGGCTGAGGAGTAGTCCATTGTATGTATGTATCACATTTAAAAAAAATTATTCAGAAAGTTATAGAGGTAGCCTAAACTGGTTTGGCTCAGTGGATAGAGCGTAGGCCTGCAGACTGAAAGGTCCCAGGTTCGATTCCGGTCAAGGGCATGTACCTTGGTTGCAGGCACATCCCCAGTGGGGGAAGTGCAAGAGGCAGCTGATCGATGATTCTTTCTCATCGATGTTTATGACTATCCCTCTCTCTTCCTTTCTGTAAAAAAATCAATATATTTTTTTTAAAAGAAAAAAAAAGTTATAGAGGTACTAAAAGTGAGCTGTATAAGAAATGGGCTAAGGAAATGAGTTACCGGGGAAAGCGAAGGGTCCTTGGAGCTTAGGGAAGTACATGTGATAAGATTTGAGCACCCGCTCTGGGGGGAGAGAGAGAGAGAGAGAGAGAGAGAGCGAGCCCATGTGGTTCTTTTTTAGAGTTTAAGTATTAATCTGCAGGTGCAGAGGCCTCATGTGTGGGGGCTATGGCATCCTCCTGATCCTGCTGGAAGGGTGCTGGGGACACGAGAACACGGCCCTGCTGGTCAGCCAGAGAACCTAGACAGGACTCCTGCCCACCATCCTGGTGCAGGGGAAATATAAACAGTGGCACTCACCAATCCTGCAACCTCTTACACCATCTTTGACTTGCCTCCAAAGCAGTATTTATCTTGATTTTTTTTTTGCACCAAGGCAAATACCTCACTCATACCTCTCACTTCGATTTAGTCCAGCCATGTGGGTCAGTAGCTCTGGCCTGGAGCCCTATGCTGTGTTTTTCACATGCATTCAGCTTTGAAACATGCTGCTGTTCCATCACCCACGCTCTGAGTAAGGAGGCTGTAGGACCATATTGTCTGAGACACAGACCATTTGATTCCAACTGAGGATTAAGATAAACATTTTATTTGATCCTATTCATTAGTTTTCTCCAAAAACACCTAGTAAAAAATATAATAGGTACCATATAAAATGCCTTGAAGTATTTCTTTTGCAACAAAAGTTATGTAAATATGAGCTTGCTTGAAAATAGTAAAAACATAAACTTGAAAAGGAAATTCTGTTGGTGCTACAGATCTTGTGGATATTTTTTATTGAAAGATCCTTTTCCTTCAATAATGGACATTTTACATTAAGCCTTTTATACAACCAAAATCTAAAAATAATATTAAAATCACACTAAGGTATTTTCATGGTTAAGCCTCTACTTAATTTTATTGTTGGTAAAAATATTGCAAGACACTTGTAACTCTAATATTTCTGCTTTAAAATAAGCAATTAAACTAAACGTCACAAGAAGAGACAATACATACTACAATTTGCTGATAACTGGCTAAAATGATAATTTAATAGTAATTAATGTATAAGAAACAATTGCACTTTAAAAATTTAAAAAGTAAACAAAAAAACTCTAGTTATATATATATGTGTCTATGAACAGAAGTTAATCTATAACCTTGCCAAGGGAAGTGTGTGTGTTCGTTTTAATTAAAAACAAATAAAAAGACCACCTGTGTATTTAACATTGCAATAGGATTTTTTAAAAAGTCTTGAATTTTTTATGTTTTTACAGAATTTCCCCCATAGTTTATTGAAAGTCTGCAACACAATTAAAACAAAATAACACTTCATTGGTATTTAGTGCAAATTTGGAGTAATTTTTACATGAAAAATTAAACATATAGCCTTTAGAAGTTGTTGGAAGTAAATGCTGTGACATTGCTTTCCTCAGTATAGTCTTCTTAAAGATTTTGAAGGAAACATTTTAACTGAGGTATTTCTCCTATTTTGCATGGGCTTTATGGTAAATGAGCCAGTACAGAGTGCACTCATCTACCATTCTTTGTTAATCTGATTTCTTCATTTGCTCTCTGCCATTATTGTGACAATCCAAAACTGATAAGATAGAAAAGGTCAATTCAGAAGAATTACTGTAGCACTAAAATTCCAGAACTCGGGTGAAAAAAGGATTAAAAAGTATTGTATTAATGAGGAAGTCATTGAAACTAACAATTGTCTACACATTTGATTTAGAAAGAAACAGCTGGAAAATGTGCAGTGGAATGTTGCTTCCCATAGCAATACAAAATTTAAAGTTCCATTGATTCTTAACAGTCTGAAGGTCCAGTATACTAGTATATATATAATATTAAATCCTACTTGCAAGAGTACAGCTATCCTTACGACCACACATACCAGCTGCTACCATAAGGCCGAGCCATCGTCTCCAGAAAGAAAATGCCTTCTATATGGTAAATAACTGCCAGTCATCCTTTCTTTAAGGTAAATGGTAGAATAACAGCACAGAATAATAGCACATTGCCTGTTGAGTGAGCATAAAGGAAAATGATGATGCATAATAATAAAATGCAATTTTTTGAAGGAGAGGAAAAAAGGATGTAATTTTCCTTGTTCTTATACTTGGGAATCAGGAGGTAAGAAAATGGGGATGTGCCAACACCATGAAATGTCAAATCAGCAGCAGCAATGTGTGGGTTTGCTGTATGTCTATGTTTCATGTAAAGCAAATTTAGTGAAACTGTGAATATGGCTTTTAAATAGCCAGGTCCCTTCTTTGTATCACATGTGTATAATAACAAGGCCACTTAAAACTCTGAGATGTTTTTTAAAGGTAGCAAGGTGAATGCTCTGAATGGTAAATGCTGTTGACTATTTGACTCCGGATATGAGTTAGTCAGTTACGGTAACGAAGGAAACTTCCCACAGGAGCTCCGTAGTACAGGGCTCCAGATCTCCTTCCTGCTAACCAATCAGCTGAGGGAGGGAGGGATGGTTTGATCATTTCTCGCCTCTCACTTTTGCTGCTTTGGGTGCAATGAGTCTTACTCTTAGAATTTTAAAATCTAGATTACAGAAGAAGCAATGTATCCCAAGGTTCTCAACCTTGGATATATCAGAATTCATCTGAAGAGTTTTGCCAGAATCTACATTTCTAGCCTGTCCTCACAGTAGGCCTGATGGAGCCTGGACATCTTAACAACAGCTGCACTAGGTGGGGAGACTCAGACAGAAAGAGAAGTTGTAGTTTCCTTTTCTTATCATATTAAAAAAAAATGTTCCCTAGGAGCCAAATGTCGAACATGTCCTGAAGGAGAGTCCTGGTGTAATGGGCCTGTGGATCGGTGTGGAGGGGGCGTGGATGGATTCCCTTTCTGTGTTAGGTCAGGTCGGGGAAAATTCATGGGCACAGACTTGGGAGCCAGACTGTGGCTTGCAGTTCAGTTACTGGCTGCACTCGGGAGAAAGGGTTCTGATCTCTCTCCCCCTGTGGTCCTTTCACCATTGCTGTAGAAAAAGGTAGAAATCCTTACATGTGGCAGGGTAAAAGTTTTGGATAAAAGAAACTGGTGCACAGAGTCAAAAAAAAAAACCATTGTAAAGATTGGCAAAAGTACGTGTTCAGTGGTGTGCGGTGTCCGTGTGCGGAAGGGCTGTGGAATGGGGTGGCAGGCTCCTGAGGAGTTCACGGTCAGGAGATCTTGCTTCCTGGGGTCCCTCGGACAGAACTTTCTCTTTAGAACTAGGAGGAGCCCAAGGCACAGGACCTAGGGTTGTGCAAATACACTCTTACAAGGAACACCACCGGTTCAGTTTCTGAGCGTTATTTTAGAGCCTATCAAACATGCTTCTCTTCCCTAGCTGGGTTTCCTTACCTCATTTAAAAAATAAATAAAAAGGACAAGAGAGGAGCCGGTAACCGGGAGTAGGAATGGAGAAGAGTCACTCTTTACTTAATAATCTGTGGGCAGTCGCTCCAGGCCTTGGCTTTCCTTTTGGCCAAAGCCAGCCAGGCTGGTTCTGTGGAGACGGGAGCAGCATCGGGGGTGGAAAACCTCTTGGTGACTTCTTTCACCAGTGGCGCGGGGGGAGGCGAGTCAGAGATCTCCACTGGGTGCGTGTTGAAGGAAAAGGAGAAAGGCATGAGTCAGAGCCACACTTTGCTGTACCATACAATGGGATTCAGCAAGGAAAACTCAGGGACACTGGACATCTTCGTTAAGAATCAGAGAAAGCAAGCGTTGTGATTGCAACTGTTAACGTGCAACATTATAGCGATCACAGTGCAGTCAGTTCTGATTTCAGATAATTTCTAGAAGCATTTTTTTTTCTGTGCACAGAAGCTAGGTCTGCATGATGATAAAAAATAAAAGGTAAATTTTGTGATTCTAGTCATACAGCCAATCAATGTCACGAAGAAAACGATCAAACGAGCAGTTTGAATTTATCAAGCTGGTGAGGTCAAAAGTGCCTGCCTCCACCAGGCACTCCTGGGGTTCCTTCCCCCTCAGGCCCACAGATCCTGCCAGCTCTTAGGACTCTCAGTCTTGTCTAGCAATCCCTTTGCCTCATATTGCTTTCTTACCACATCATAAAGGCTTCTTAAGGTGAGGGTTCCCACCCTTAGCAGAACTCAGGAGCTACTGGTGGAAAAGACAAATACATTGCTTCAGAACAAAGCTAGCTGCCTTAACCAGAGCCACCTGAACTGCACTGACCCTTTGGAGCTTCCAAGAAATCAGGGCAGAGAGAGGTGTCATCTCTGACTTTGGAGCTCTCACTTTATTTTGAACTAATTCTCTCTGACACACCCATATAACGTGTAGAGCCCTTAGTTCCTGGGCATAAGAGCCTAGTGAAATAATACCCATGGAGAAGTTCTTGAGAAAGTGTCCAGTGCTCCAAAGTGGTTTTCAAAAAAATTGTTTTCGCCTCACCGAATAGTAAATAAAGCTTTAATGGCGAGACCTCTACATTTCCAGAACTCAGCACGCAGGTGACCAAGGCGTACAAAAGTCCTGGGTCCGGAGGCTGGATGGCCTCCTGGGAGCGGCTGCCCAGGGTGCACCACATGCCCTGCTTGCCCTGGAGGAAACTGGTTTTGCTTCATCCCTCCTCCGGGCGACTGGTAATAAGCACATAGTTGGAACCATTATGAACCATTTTACCTTTTATTAGAATAAAGGATTTTTAAAAAATGTGTGGGTACCTTTTGTGTGTCATGAATGTATGGACACTGCTGTTGTTAATTAACATCCAGGACTCTGAGCCGAACAGCCCTGCCCTCTGAAGTCACAGCTGGTCAGACACTTGTCCTTTGAAATCGCATTGGGAAAAGGACCTTCCCACTTTGGGGCATCTCAGCCACCTGGGTCCCTGACTCGGACACAGCTTCTGTTTCCATCCCAGGAACAGCTCCAGATACAACTTTCACACATTTATTTGAACTTCGTAGTGCCAGGAAAACAGGGCCCTGAATCCACTTTTTAACTCAGGCTTGATGCCAACCCCACACCCTCGCTTTGCTATACGCCCATCAAAACTGCTCCACTTAAATTTTACCTAAATTTCATCCTTTTCCCCAAATCCTACTAGGATCGTATCTCTTCCTTTGTTTAGAGGTCCTTACTATAGCAAGTTAATAAACCTGGTTTTGTTGGACTACAGGCAGTGGGGCATTGGAGATGGCACGTATCACACCTCATTAACTTCAGAAATTTATCAGACCACATTGATAGGTGGAAACTGGCCATGGTGGGAATATTTACACCACAGTAAGTGGCAAACACTACAAATCAGAGGATTCCTGCTCTCTGATTGCTAAGCAAACACCGACAGTCACACCACTGACAGTAAGTTTCTGGTGATCTTTATCAGATGGGCTGGTGACAAAGATCGATGTCAGAGGTTATGAGAGTGGTGGTAAAACAGCCAGTGCTGTTACTACACCCGAGGAAATACAACGTGCTCTAAGAAGAAAAACCTGTAACTGAGGTTAAACAGAAACGGTCCTGCTCTCGCTACCTGTCACCGATGTGGGGAGGGTGTTGGCCTTTTTCAGCTGCTCTCTGCGCTCAAGCCTGGACCCTGCTGTCTCCGGCTTCTTCTCTTCTGGCTGAGCCGTGGACTTGGGCAGGGATCCAGCTCTGCTGGCACTGCTGCTTCCTGGCTGCGGACTGACACTGACCTGGGTGGGCAGAGAAAGCCAGGAAAAGTATGTTTTCAACCTAAGTATATGCAAAGACTCACAGGACAGGGTCTGGGGGTTCTGCTGGTCAGCACCCACCCCCTCTTCCTCTCCCCGCGCCAAAAAAAGCAGCTGGAGTGCACTTGGGAGCATGAAGCAGCTTAGTACAAATGTCCCGTCAAGTTAGCTATAAAAGCAGAGTCAAGAGAAAGACTGATTTCCTCCCAAAGCCCAGCTCCAATACAATCATTCTCATATTTCTCACATTACTGCCGTGTGCATGGATCGTTGCTACTAGTTACATTGTGAATTCTGCCAAATCAAGTTACCTTAATAGCATAAAGGAACTGAATAAAATTTCTGACGGAAAATGCTATCCTAATGGTGGTTAATTTGTTTATTGTTCTACTTTTTCTAGATATTCTACACCATTCCCAGTTAGCTGCTTTTTTTTTTTTTTTTAATTGATTTCAGAGAGGAATTGAGAGTTGAGAGATAGAAACATCAATGATGAGAATCAGCTGCTCCTTTGGGAATCGAGCCTGAAATCCTGGCATGTATCCGCGACCTCTTGGTTCATAGGTGGACATTCAACCACTGAGCCACACTGGCTGGGCTTTCTTTTCCTTTTTAAAAAAAAATATATATTTTATTGATTTTTTTACAGAGAGGAAGAGAGAGGGACAGAGAGTTAAGAAACATCAATGAGAGAGAATCATCCATCAGCTGCCTCCTGCACACCCCCTACCGGGGATGTGCCCGCAACCAAGGTACCTGCCCTTGACCAGAATTGAACCTGGGACCTTTCAGTCTGCAGACTGATGCTCTATCCACTGAGCCAAACCGGTTTCGGCTCTTCCTTTTTTAAATCCTTGCAACCATAAAAGAGAGCCAAGCTCAAAAAGGTAAGGTTAAAACTGAAGACCAAACAAAAGAAACAAACCCTGAAGACTAGGCTACTCACGTTGTCCTTGGAGAGCTTTTCTGCCTGCTTGGCCTCCCTTGCTTGCTTCCTCTCCTCTCGAGTAGCTTGCTGCTCCCGAAACCCTTTCTGCTTTTGCAGGGCTAACGTTATCCACAGTGGCTGCGCGGTTTCTGCTTTCTCCGCCAGCTTGGAGCCATCTAAAGAGTGTCTGCTCTGAAGCACTGGCTTTTCTGTGGAGGAAAAAAAAACAAGACTGATATTGTGATTTATAATAAGAAATACATATTTGGTCTTCGTCCTGTTTCTGGCACTGAGCTCCTAAGAGATGAGAGCGTAAAGGGGTCTCTCGTTCTGTGAATGAGGCTACACTGGGACCACACTTAAGGATTGGGTGACCAACTGAGTGATCAGAGGATTGGAACTTGCAATCTCACCCCCCAACCTCCTGGGAGGGGGGGAAGCCTGGAGGTTGAATCAATGGCCAAAAATATAACCACTCATGCCTGTGTAATGAAGTCTCCATAAAACCCCAAAGGTCAGGGTTTGGAGAGCTGCTGGGCTGGTGACTTGGTGGAAGTGCTGGGAGGTTGGCCACCCAGAGAGCATGGGACCTCCCTGCCCTTTCCCCATACCTTGTATCCTTATAAGCATCTCTTCCTGAGTTATATCCTCTTATAACAAATCAATGATCTAGTAAGACAAATGTTTCTCTGAGTTCCATGAGCCACTCTAGAATATTAATCAAACCCAAGGAGGGGGCTCCTGGGAACCTCTGATTTTAACCAGTGAGAAGCACCTGGATCTGAAGGTACAGCCTTATGGGACTAAGCCCTTAACCTGAAGAACTGGACACCATCTTGAGTTGAATTGTAACACACCAATGCCTGAGAATTGCTTGGTGGTGTGGGAATCCCTCCTCTGCAACACACACCTTTGAACTGTGATCAGAATTAGTAAAGACAAAAGCCAGCTTTCAGTGAAATTAACTGTTCTCGTATCTCAGTACCTCAGCCCCTAAAACTTGTGACATATTAATCAGCCCACTGAACATTCAACTGTCCCTTCCTAATGCAAACTCCGTGTTCATGCCCGAGTGACTCCACTGGGTAGGAAAGTCACATCTTTGATCAACAGGAACAAGAGCCTTTCTCTTCCCTCTAAGTAGAAAATAAAATTCCAGTGTCATAAACCTCAGACCTACAAGGGACCCAGGGAGTTATTTGATTCAGTGTTCTTTTATTTATCGCTTTTTCAAAATTTTTGCAAAAACCTTTTCCCTTTACAAACAATATCCTATGTGGAACCCCGAGGTATGAAAGAGGAAAATAGGGCACTGCTCTGCCCCGGGGGCTGCTGAGGGCAGCAGGGATCTGAGGAACCCAGTGGGAACCATAATTTTGCCCAGTGCCCTTCTATGTTTCTCTTACATGGATTCTCTTGCCTATGCCACTGGGGGTAAACACACTTCACAGATGGTGGAGCTGACAATGGACTCTGGAACTGAGCAGACCTGGGTTTGACCTTTTGTGATTTAGAAAAGCTACTTAACTCCTCTAAGAAGGGAGACCCTTTAATTTGAAATAGTGTTTGGGGTTTTGATTAGGACCCTGGAGGGGATATATTAATTACTAACATGAGACTGTTATTACTGAAAGTGCCTAGGGGACTTTTCTTTTCAAAAAGTGACAAACTATAGGAAGAACTCCAACCGCTTAACAACAACAACAAAACAACAACAACAAAATACCCAATTAAAAGTGAACAAAGGACTTGAATAGACATTTCTCTTAAGAAGACATACAAGTGACCAACAAGCATATGAAAAGATGTTCAACATCACTAATTACTAGGGAAAAGCAAAGCAAAACCACAACCACCAATGAGCATATTACCTCACACCCATTAGGATGGCTACTGTAAAAAACAACAACAGAAAATAACAAGTGTTGGCGAGGATGTGAAAAATTAGAATTCTGTGCCCTGTTGGTGGGGATGTAAAATGGTACAGCTGGTATGGAAAATAGTAGGTGGTTCTTTTAAAAAATTAAAAATAGAACTACCATAGAATCTGGCAATTCCATTTCTGGGCATTTATCCAAAAAGTACTGAAAGCAGCATCTCAAGGGAATACCTGCACACCCATGATCCTAGCAGCACTAGTCAAAAGCCAAGAGGAGCAAGCAACCTAAGTGTCCATGGACAGATGAATGGATAAACCAAGTGTGGCATATACACACAAGGGCAGGTCATTCAACCTTAAAAAAGGAAATCCTGTCATGTGCTACGTGGATGAACTTTGAAGACACTGTGCTAAGTGAATAAGCCAGTCACCAAAAAAGATAAGACCATATCATTCCACTTATGTGATGTATATAGAGAAGTCAGAGTCCTAAGAACAGGAAGTTGAATGATGGGCTGGCAGAAGGCAGGTGGTTAATGCTTACGGAGTTTCAGTTTTGCAAGATGAAAAATTGGCTGTACACAATGTGAATATGCTTAAGACTCCTAAGCTGCACACTGAGAAAAGACAGTCAATTTTATGTTACTGTTTCCCTGAAAATAAGACAGTGTCTTATATTAATTTTTTCTCCCAAAATTGCGCTAGGTCTTATTTTTAGGGGATGTCTTATCTTTCCATGCGCTAGGTCTTATTTTCGGAGGATGTCTTATTTTCGGGGAAACACAATATGCATATTGACCATAATAAAAATTGTTTTCTAAAGTGACTGAAAGAACTGTGCCCAAAATATTATCCAAGAGATGCAGGGAAAAATGAGAATCAGAGATCAGGTTTAAAAGAACTGTAAGAAAAGGAATAAGACAAGAAGGCTTTGCTAAATCCTACAGCATTTAAAAAAACATGTATTTTATTGGTTTGTTTGTTTTTACAGAGAGGAGAGGAGAGGGATAGAGAGCTAGAAACATCAATGAGAGAGAAACATCTATCAGCTGCCTCCTACACACTTTCCACTGAGGATGTGCCCACAACCAAAGCACATGCCTTTGTCCAGAATTGAACTTGGGATCCTTCAGTCCGCAGGCCGAAGCTCCATCCACTGAACCAAACTGGCTAGGGCCCTATGGCATTTTAAAACAATGTTGTTTTGAACAAATATATGAGTAAGGTCCAAGAAGTAACATGAGGACATAATGAGAAATGTTTTTAAAGGCTAACAGCATTTTACAAATGCCAGGTGAGCTTTCCTGGAGGTGGGCCTGGGTTACTGGGAAGATCATTTTGCCTGGGAGAGAACTCCTCCCCATCCTGGCTTTACCACTGAGGGGAGCAGGCAAGACATTGGACTTCTCAGATGTGGTGTCCTCATCTGTAAAATTGAGCTAAGATTGTCTACATGTGTCATGAGACTGCTAGATAGAATAAATAAAAACACTGTGTAAATGATAAGCACAAAGGATGACCACTAAAATTTTCTGAAACAGTAAAACCACTTATTTCATTCAAGATTTTGAAAGAGATGTTATTTGTTAATCACATAACCTTTTTGCCGGGGGGGTGGGGGGGGGGTTCAGAATATCTAATTAAAATTTTATTTTGCTGCAATGTTTAAACCTATTTTCTCTCACTCTAAACTCAGTGGACAAGCAGAACCATAGCCCACTTAAGTTCTCTCCTTCAGGTCCCCGGGAGACACAAGGTACCTCCTGGCATTTACGGGGTTCTAATCACTGCTCCCCACGGTCAGTGCTTGGAGAAAACGCCAGTTACAATCTATTCTACCTTCCGTCAGGGGCTGGGAGTTTCCGAATAAGATGGTATCCTACCTAATAAAAGAGTAATTTGCAAATTAACCATCACTCTGCTACATCCACCAGCCATGACCTCCAGCCAATCAGAGTGAGTATGCAAATAAATCCAACCAAGATGGCTGCAGCCACAGAAAGCAGGATGGAGATTTGAGTTTCCCAGGTAACGGAAAAAGCCAAGCTTTCTGCCTGCCCTAGCCAGCCTAAGCCTCCACTCAAGGCTACAAAGTTTCAATTATAGAAAGTAAACAAATCCAAACAGAAATGGTGGCAGCCATGGAGCAACTTAGCTCTGCTCCAGAAAACAAAGTTTCAATTGTAGAAGGTAAATAAATTCCAGATACCAGGGCATCTGCTTGGGTCACCAGGGGGCATGGCTGGCCTGAAAACCACCACAGGCCCCTCACTCAGGCCGCCCCACACTCCAAGGGAACCCCCACCCTGATCCGGGACACCCTTCAGGGCAAACCAGCTGGCCCACACCCATGTACCAGGCCTCAATCCTATTTAATAAAAGACTAATATGCAGATTGACCATCACTTCAACACACAAGATGGCTGCCTCCATGTGGTCAAAGATCCTGTCCCCTTGTGGACACAGATGGCCACCACAAGATGGCCAGCAGGAGAGGGCAGTTGGGAGGCACCAGGCCTACAAGGGAGGGCAGTTGGAGGCGATCATCCCTGCAGGGGAGGGCAGTAAGGGGTGACCAGGCTGGCAAAGGAAAGAAGTTGGGGGCAAACAGGCTGGCAGGAGAGCAGTTAGACATCAATACCACCGGGCAGTCGGACATCCCTCAAGGGGTCCAGATTGGAGAGGGTACAGGCTGGGCTGAGGGACACTCTCCCACACCCCAGTGCATGAATTTCATGCACCGGACCTCTAGTCTGTAATAAAAATGTTAGAGGAGAAACATGGCAAGGTGTGTGTGTGGGGGTGATCATTGTTATTTTAATTCCCATCAGAATGGGTTCAGAGTCACTGTCCCCACCCCCCACCCCAGTGACTTCACCTGGGTATTGGTCTTTGCTGGCCTCGGTTCCAGGAATAGAAACCGCTTTCTAAACCAGTGGTCTCAAACAAAAATGGGGTGTGTGCCCTAGGGGATGTGCAAGGACATTCACCGGGGTAAAGGAAGAAAAGCTTAGAACTTCTATTTATATGTATTTTAAAAATCTAAAAATAAAAACAAAATTGAGCTTTGCTAATATTTGATGCTTAGACTGGCATTGACATTCTCACTCAGCCCATAGCTCAGCAGGCCAGGTACAGCAAATGGCATGTGTAGAGACTCTGAGGGGAGCTGGGAGCACTCAGACGAGAATCAGCAATCCTGTCCTCACTGGCTTTGCTTTTAGCATACTGTGAGGTTCTGCACTTAGGTAAGTTTAGGAATGGCGTATCTCCTTTGATCTAAATGACCCTTTATGAAATGGACAATTCCTGCAAACAGACCACAGATTCACTCTACTTCCAGTAATGCAAGCATAAGGCCACAGTGGGGCTGACAAGCTCTTTGCCTGCCACTTTACGGAGAAATCAGATCCGACAAGAAGTTGGCCAAAGAAAGAAAGGGTGACGCCACAATTAGCAATATGGATTGACACCCACTACTGCTTCAGTGAACTGCACCCTAAGTGCACATATGGCGCTCCAGGGGCTTTCACATGGGCACAGGTAACAGATAAATTGGAGGTCCAGGCGTTTTATTCCAGTGGGGTGTTTAGTCAGACACACTTGGCCAGCCCTGGTCTGGAAAGTCTTTAGACAGCAACCACCCACAAGGCATACGGTCCTTGTTTTCATGCTTCTTTTCTACCAAATAAAGAAAGAGTCCATTAGTGGAGTGCAACAACCTAGAATCCGGATACTGATAAGGAAGACAGGGGCAGGAATAGCTTTTGGTAGAAAATTATAACCGAAGGGAAAAGTGTGAGAGAAAGAGGCAGTGCTGGAGCATTATTTCTGGGGGGAGAAGATAAGAGTGTGCTGGAGTAGGCCAGGCTGCCAGAGGGGCTTGGATGATGACAAAAGTTACTGGGGCAAAAGCTGATGTCAAAACTAAAAATGGGGGCCTGGTCTGTATGGCTCAGTGGTTGAGCGTGGACCCGAGGCCGGAGGCTCCATTCCGGGTCAGGGGCTCTATCCCCAATAGCGGGTGTGCAGGAGGCAGCAGATGGATGATTCTCTCTCATTGATGTTTCTCTCTCTCTCTCTCTCTCTCTCTCTCTCTCTCTCTCTCTCTCTCTCTCTCTCTCTCTCTCCCCCCCCCCCCCGTCTCCAAAAATAAATAAAACATATTTTAAAAAACACTCACTAAAAATGGGTGTTCTGGCCGAGACTGGTTTAGCTCAATGGATAGAGCATTGGCTTGGGGACTGAAAGGTCCCGGGTTCGATTCCGGTCAAGGGCATGTACCTTGGTTGCGGGCATACCTCCAGTAGGGGGTGTGCAAGAGGCAGCTGATCGATGACTCTCTCTCATCGATGTTTCTAACTCTCTATCTCTCTCCCTTCCTCTCTGTACAAAATCAATAAAATATATTTAAAAAAAAATAAAAATAAAAAAATAAAAATGGGTGTTCTGGTTCGGGATGGTGACATAGGGTCCCGAACCCCCTCCTCCCACAGACATACCAAGCCTGCAGCCACATACAGAACAACTCCCTCTGACTGAAATCCAGAAACTAGCTGAGTGACACCTACACGTTGGGCAAATGAATAGGAGAGGCTGAGACACAATCTCACCATAAATCCCACCCCAGGCATTGCAACTCATAACTCGGGGGGGAGGGCGAAGGGGCTGGACCCTACATATGGTGCCCCCAATTCTAAGACTTCTGCCTGAGAGACAAGACCCCCAAAATACCTAGCTCTCAAAGCCAACGGGGCTTGCATCCAGCTAAGGGACATTTCTTTCTTTCTTTCTTTCTTTCTTTCTTTCTTTCTTTCTTTCTTTCTTTCTTTCTTTCTTTTTTAAATATATTTTATTGATTTTCCACAGAGAGGAAGGAAGAGTGATAGAGAGCTAGAAACATCCATGAGAGAGAAACATCGACCAGCTGCCTCCTGCACATCCCCTACTGGGGATGTGCCCACACCCAAAGTACATTCCCTTGACCGGAATCAAACCTGGGACCGTTCAGTCCACAGACCGACGCTCTATCCACTGAGCCAAACCGGTTTCGGCTAAGGGACCTTTCCTAATGGACTCACAGGGACTTGCCGTGGCTACCTCCCCAGGCCCAGTGTACAGGCTCAAAGTGGGCTCCTCACTGTCAGACAGACAGCGGACAGAAGCCGTTAGGGAGGAATGGTCTGGAAGCTGCGGGTCCAGGAAACCGGGCGAGTGTAGATTAAAGGGGATGGCAGGGTGAGCAACCAAGCCAATACCCCTCAGCACACAGGCCCTTTTCTCTGCAAGAACCAACGTAACCCTAAGCAATTACACAGAAGAAATAAAGCCAATCCCTCCCTAAAGCACCTCAGGGGAGAATATCTCTGAGCTGTGAGAGACTGTGGGCTATGGCCGCACTTGGCCTACTCTGCAAAACAGAAGTGAGAACGCCCAGGCAGAGGCTCTCAGGGGCCCCAAAGCCAATCCAAGTGGCTATATTTGGGAGCGGTCCCAAACATCCGGTGTGAAGAGCCAGGAGGGCGGGCAGCCAGGAGTGAGGGTGGCTCTACAATTTCTTCTAAATCTTCATTGTTCAGATTATTACAGAGGTTCCTCTTTCCCCACCTTCATAGCTCCCCTCCACCTGGTTGCCACCCCACCCCAGGCCCCGATGGTCCTGCACTGTCCTCGTCCACAGGACGGCTTCCCAATGGCGAGCTGGTGGTATGGGGGTGCTTTGGGAGAGCATCTGCATAAGCCTGACACCCAGACAGTCAGTCCCAGAGGCCCCCTAGGCCGGTGGAGCTGCTGGAAGCCCCCTACCGGCCTACTGTGGTATTGCTACTGCCCAGAGACAGAGCAGTCGCTGGTCTAAGCCAGTGGTCCGCAAACTCATTAGACAACAGAGCCAAATATCAACAGTACAACGACTGAAATTTCTTTTGAGAGCCAAATTTTTAAAACTTAAAACTTCTTCTAACGCCATTTCTTCAAAAACAGACTCGCCCAGGCCGTGGTATTTTGTGGAAGAGCCACACTCAAGGGGCCAAAGAGCCGCATGTGGCTCGCGAGCCGCGGTTTGCAAGCCCAGTCTTTACCCTCACTGCCCCTCCCAGAGACGGGGCACCTTCATTCCTTAGGGTATCTCACTGCCGTGGGCACCTTTAACTTGCGTTAAGTACATAGGAGTGGGTGTGAGCCCAAGATACATGGCAGAATCAGTTCGGATTTCCAGAATGGTAAATAAGAGTGGGAACGCGATGAGAAGAACTGGGGAGTATCCTAGAGTAAATTACAGTGGTCCAGAAAAGGGGGGAGAGGTATTAGGGAGGGCCACCAGCTAATGAGGGTTGGCAGAGACAAACTCTGCCTCTGTGCCCGAGTGGACGCTGGTACTTCACCTCAGCTTCCAGATGGCTATTCAGCGTCTATCTGAGCGACGTGGCCAACAGCCAGGACGCCGGCACAGCTTGCTTACGCACCAGCTTTCAGACTGTGGTCCCACAGACGACCCAAAGGTAGCAAATGCAATGGAACCTCAGTTCTCAAACTGAATTAGCTCTGGAAGGCTGTGCAAGAAGCAATTTGTTCAAAAACTAAATCATCCCCCGCCCCCATTCTTTTAGAAATAATGTGAGTTGAATTAATCCGTTCCAGACCCCCCCAAATGATTCCCTGTTTTAACCTTTCTTATATACAGTACATGTTTACTGTACTGTTTAACCTATAAGCAAACACTTCTTAAGTTTATTGAACCACCTGCTACTGGCCTTAAAGAAATCGCTTTCAGCACTCATTCCAGGGATGTCTGTCAGGTCAGAAGGCAGCGTATCTTTGCTGGTGCGTATATCACTGGCTAACTGCTTTCCCTTTATCCAAATCAACAGGTTTTCTACCTCTTCAACTGCCTGTGATCCTTGCTTCTTCCCTTGCAACCTCTGCACCTTTGAGGGCCTCTAACCTTTAAGGCTGTGCCAATCATCGATTTCACCAGCTACAAAAGCACTCTCTTCTTGGTTTGGTGCCTGAGAGATGCTTTATGTCATGCTGAAGTGTCAGCATGAAAGGATTGTCAAGTCAAACACCCAAGTTTGGTACGACAACCGACATTTGCTTCTGTGAACACTTGGTTGGGAATCGAATTGCTCAAGATGGGAGGTGTTCGAGAAATGAGGTGTGACTGCAATCCATCCTTAGGAAGCTGAACCTATCCCGGAGCGGTCTCCACTTCCCCTTTCCTCTTCCACGGCCGAGGGACAGCCTATCAGAACCACTCACTCGTTCCTCCCCACACGCAGGGCATGCCTGTCTTCCCCACCTCGCCCTGTGCTAATGCTCTGCCCAGGGACAGAGCAGTGGCTGGCGTAGGCAAGCCCAGTCTTTACCCTCACTGCCCCTCCCTTCATTTCTTAGGGTACCCATGGCTGGTGGTTCAGACTGCTTGCCCCAGCCCTGGTCCCTTTTCCACCAGCATGCGGCTCAATAAACTTTCTTTCAAAAAAGCTTTGGGCCGCCGAAACGGCTCAATGGATAGAGAGTGTCGGCCTACAGACTGAAAGGTCCCAGGTTCGATTCCAGTCAAGGGCATGTACCTTGGCTGCGGGCACATCCCCGGTGGGGGGTGTGCAAGAGGCAGCTGATCAATGTTTCTCTCTCATGGATGTTTCTAACTCTCTATCCCTCTCCCTTCCTCTCCGTAAAAAAATCAATAAAATATATTTTTAAAAAGCTTTGGCCACAAACGTTTCCTTTCCACAAAAGGAAAGAGCCTCAGTGGGATTCCCTCCCTCCAGGAATGGCACATGGGCCTCTCAGGAAGGGAACTGCTGCAACTCGGGCTCCGCTGGCCACTTCCCGCCGCGGGCAGCCGGGCTTTAGCGGACAGCACGCTGGACAGAGGCAGGGTTCGGGCCTCCAGCTCCCTACCTCTCCTCCCGGCCTCGGGCGTCTGGGAAGGCCTCTCTTGCCGGGCTGCAGACGGAGCAGGAGCAGCAGCTTTTCTCTCGGTGTCCGCCTCTTCCTTCTTCTCTTCCCTCCTGGGAGGTGGTGGTGGAGATGGTGGCCCGGGCTCCCGTCTCTCCGGGCCCTCCTTGCCGGGCTCCGGGTCAGGCCTCCCCGGCCGCCGGGCCAGCAGCTCGGCCAGGTAGGGCCTGCTCAGTCTGCAGACCGGGGAGGTGGGGGGCGTCTGCCCGGAGGGGGGCTTGGGCGCCAGGGCCGGCTTCTGCGCCAGGGGCATCCTGCTGGCGGCCTTGGTGTGCTCCGGGGGGGCCGGGGCCTGGCTGCTGCCGGGCGGGGGTGCAGGCTGGGCCATGGCAGGGGGGCTGGAAGGGCTTATGGCGGGGTCCTTCCGGGCATGGGGGCCTTGCTTGATGTCTGCGGGGAGGGCCGGGCCCTGCTTAGGGGCCACCCCCTCGGCCCCCTTCTCTCCATCCGTGCGCTCTGGGGCCGGGGGAGCGCCCTCCGCGCCCTCCCCGGTGCTGCCATTCCTCCTCTTCTTCTTCTGCTCCGCCTGCTGGTCGCAGTGGAAGCGCAACGAGTAGTTGGTCCTTCTCAGCTTTATCCCGAAAGGGGAGGCTGAGGCTTTTTCCTCTCCCCCCGGCATCCCCGGGTCCGGCTTGCCCGGGCCGCCGGCGGCCTCGCTGCCCGGAGCGGCCACAGGCTCGGCCTGGGCCGCTGCTCTCTGCGGAGTTGGGTGAGGAGGGCTCGGGACCAGGAAGGACGGGAGGTCTTTGGCAAATTTGCAGCCCTCGGTGGTGTCTGCGGGCTCCGGGGACAGCCCCGGGCTCTCCGGGCCTTTCTGGGGCTCCTCGCTGTCAGCGGCAGCAGCGGGGGACGGGGGCGCCGTCGGGTCGCTGGCTCCCGGCCCCGACCTTTTCCTCGTGCTCTCGGCGCTCTGTTTGGAGGTCTCGGAGCCCCCATCGGAGAACTTCTGCCAGGCGGGCATGATGGAGAACTTTGCATTTCCCGGCGGGGTCCTCCGGAGGGTCCCCCGGGAGTCACAGCGGCCCCGGGGCGCGAACTCGTCCCCAGGGGGAGGTGCCGGGTCCCTCTGGCCGCCCTGCTCGCCCTCCGCGCTCCTCAGGATGCGGGAGCGGATGGAGGCCCACTCGGCCAGGGCTGCCGCGCTGCTCGCCGCCGGCTCCTGCGGGGCCCGGGCCCTCCCGCTGCTGCCGGCCCGGGCCCGGGGCGGGCTCTCCGGGGCCGGGGTGGGGGCGTCCCCCGGCTTCTTCTCCTCCGACAGGCCCAGGCCCAGCAGGGACTTGCAGGCCGTGTCCTTGATCTGGCTGAGGTTGACGGCCGGCCCGCACAGCTGGGCGCCGGTGACCAGGATGGCCGTGTGCGGGATGCTCAGGGCCGAGGGCAGCGCGTGCGGGGCGGGGCCGGCCGCCCGGGGGGCCTTGGGCTGGTGCGGGGTGGGAGCCGGCCCCGCATCCTTCGGGGGCGTCATGGGGCTCAGGTTGACCTTGGGGAAGAGGATCTGCTTGCCCCCAGAGGACACTTGGAAAGTGTAGGGCCTGGGCATGGTCTGCCTCTCCTCCATCTCCTGCCACCGCAGCTCCTCCACCCTGCTGTCCTGCTCCGGGGCCACCCTCGCTGCTGCCCCGCACACCTCCTGCTTCTGGGGAGGCGGGGTGCTGGGCTCGTCCCTCTTTTCCGGGCCTGCACAGCCATTCTGCCCCTGCGGCTCTCCGGAGGGCTCGGCCCGGGGACCCTGCTGCTTGCAGGCCCTCAGCTCCTCGGTGTTCTCTCTGGGCTTCCCAGGTCTCGGGGCCTCTGGCTCCTCGGCACTGTCAGTCTCCCACCCGCTCTCCTCTCCTCCCCGTGCTCCCCGGGACTCCTCCTTCTCCGCCTCCACGTCCTCCTGCCTTTTCCTCTGCTCCTCCCTTCTCTTGGCCTCCTCCTCTTCCCGCCTTCTGAGCTCCTTCAGCCGGTTCTCTTCCTCCTCCCGCAGCCTCTGCTGCTCCTCCTCCTCCTGCTGCTTCCTCTCCTCTTCCTCCCGCAGCCTCTGCTGCTCCTCCTCCTGCCTTTTCCTCTCCTCTTCCTCCAGCCGCTGCTTCTCCGCCTCCTGCCGCCTCTGCTCCTCCAGCTTCTCCAGCTCCTCCCGCCTCCTGAGTTCCTTCAACTCTCTCTCCTCTTCCTCCTGCCGCCGCTTCTCGGCCTCCTGCCTGCTCCTCGCCTCCAGGTCCTGGTGCGCGAGGCGCTGCAGCCGCTCGGCCTCTCCCTCCAGGGGCTCCTGCTGCCCGGCTCCCCGGTGCCCGCCTTCCTCCGGCTCCCTGCTCTCTGGGGCTGGGCCGCCCGGCTCGTCCAGCCTCCGCCTTTCCTCTGGGCACGGCCTCTTCCCAGCCTCTGGCTGTGGTTCGCCCTCCTCTCCCTCCTCTTCCTCTCCTCCTTCTCTCTCCCCTTCCTCCTCCATCAGCTCCTGCCGGCGGTTCTCCTCCCACAGCCGCCGCTCCAGGGCCCGCAGCCTCTGCTCCTCCAGGCGCCTCCTCTCGGCCGCCTCCGCCTTCTGCCGCTTGCACTTGGCCTCCAGTTCCCGCCAGTACTCTTCCTGGCGTCTCTGCTCTTCCTCGGCGTCCAGAGGCTCAGGCTCCGGCTCCTCCTCCTCCTCCTCGTGCCACGTCAGCTTGTCTTCCCCGGGGTGTCCGTTCTGGTCCAGAGACAGCTGGCCCGGGAGGCCGCCGGGTTCGTCTGGCCGAGCCTAACGTTGGCAAGGGAAACAGAATTAGCTTCCTCCTGTACACAGGGGACCGTTCCTCTCCCTGGTCCCCGGGCAGGTGCCCTCTCCCTCTCCTGGTTTGGGGACAGACTTTTAAACGCCCCGGCGTGGCCCCTGGGTGCCCTGTTCCCTGACTGCCTACCCTGGGACTATGGCAAAGGAGGGGGGGGGGCTTTGCTTTTCCGGACATGGGGTCCAGGAACACAGCAGGGCCCTGCTGCTTTCCGTGACTCGTGAGGGTCTTCCTTGCTCCTTTCTCACGAAAACAGTAGGAAGTCCCTTTTGCTACTGCTCAGAGGGGTAGTTTTTGGGCTCAAAACTTGGTCGTTTCTGCAGGGGTGTTACCTTGAGCTCACCAGAACGTAAGCTCCGGGAGCTCTGTAAGGGAAGGGGTTTTTGTCTGTTTTGGATCCTGCTGTATCATCCCCAGGGCCCACGTCAGTGTGCTCAATAAAAATGTGTTTGGTGAGTAAGAGAGAGAAAAAAAAGAAGGGGCCGTTCTAAGTATAGAGACAGGTAAATGCAGGCTGAGGTGCCAAGAGCGGAGGGTGGGGGTGGCGGGAAGAACTTTATGTTTATTCCCTTCATTTGTTATTTTCAGGTTCCTTGTTCTTAATGTGAATAATCGTAGGAAAACCAACAGTCCAGTATCGGAAAGAAGAGGAAAAAGTTAGATTGACACCCCCCCCACTCTGTCCCCTGAAATCCGTGCCTTGGAAAGTCCACCCTCACCGAAGGGCCTTGGGCTAAACCATGGCAGAGGAGAGCAGGGGGGGTAGCAGCCTCCTCTGTGGGCACCAGGTCAGACAGGGCAGTAACCGGGCCTGTGCCCCACACTCTGTCCCTGCTGGGGAGAGACCCAGTGCCTCCGACAGGTCACCGCCCCACCGCCCCGTTGGCAGCAAGCGAGGGTAGCTGCCCGGTCAGCCTGGATGGGCTCTACGCACCCCAGCGGGCCCAAGCCGCCTGTGCTTCTTTGACACCCTCTGGTTCTTTGGCTTCACGGACAGCTTGTGCTTGGCGGCACTGTTGTCCAAGCGGGCGATGGCCAAGGGGATGGCATCCAGGTTGACACTCTCGATGGTGCCGGCAGAAGAGAAGTGCCTTTTTGGCCGAGAAGGTTTAGCTGGAGCTACCTGTAGGGGAGATTAAAATATGTAATCAGCCCTGGCTGGTTCAGCTCAATGGACAGAGCATCGGCCTGCAGACTGAGGGGTCCTGGGTTCGGTTCCTGTCAATGGCACATGCCCGGATTGTGAGTCCGATCCCCAGTGAGGGACGTACATGAGGCAGCCGATCAATGATTTTGTCTCATCATTTGGTGTTTCTATCTCTCTCTCCCTCTCTCAAATCAATAAAATATATATATATATATATATATATATATATTTAGTCCAGATCAGAAAGCAACCTGCAGGGAATCCAGGGGAGGGAAGCACTTTTTGGTGCCCGTGCCTTGCCCAGCCTGACGAGCAAAGGGAGCTCACTAGGACTGTGAAATGAGCAATGCTCCCGGAATAAGGACAGGACGTTAACTACTGGCTCTGCCAGTGCTATCTGCATGAGCTTGTGATGGTTATTTAACCTTTCAGGGGCCAAGTTTCCTACCCTGAATAATATGTGGATTGGATGAGGGGCTGACAAAACCTGAATCCGGCCCGCAGCCACGCCCATCAGCACTGTCCGAACAGAACGGAGAGTCTCAGAGTTGGACCTTCTGGCCACAAAGTCTAAAATAAGCAATGCCCTGACAAGCTCATCTCCAGACGAAGAACTGTTTCCCTAAGAGCGTTCCTGCTGCCTCTCACCCTGTGTGAACACACCTCCTCCCCTACCTTAGCAAGGAAGGTGTCTTTTTCATCTTCGTATCAGCCCGCTTTATGCCCAAGTAGCAAATCTCATTTGGCAAGGGCTCAATAAATACTTATTGAAGGAATGAAGGAACAGTAACCAAATGGGTTAGCACCATCACTCCGAAGTCACGGAGCACTGAGGGCCCTGAGAAGCTAACGGAGGAGCAGAAACTCGGAACACGCCAGGGAGAGGGCAGTTCTTCAAAGGATGAGTTGCGGCACCACTTGCTTGCAGTCTGTAACGCAGACGTACCACCGGTGAACTGCACAGACTTAGTCAGAGAGACTGGCTCAGCCTGAACCCAGCGGCCACAGTAGGCAGCCAAGGAAGAGCTCCTGGCCACACCACACACCACCCCAATGAGCAGCAGAGGGCGCTCACAGCCACTGTTTGAGCCTGCAGCTCTCAGGCACAGGACAAAAGAGGAGGCCACCATGCCCCCGACTGTGACCCAGCTCTTAAGTACAACGTCAGTGGGGTTTAGCCAAGGGTTTTGCCCTTTGCAGTCACCTTCCATATTTACACATGAAAGCTGAAGCACCAAGCCAGCTCCAAGAGTGAAAGGGATTGCTCAGTAAATAACTTATGACAAGGAGCACAGACATAAGGAAAAATAATTCCAGCCTTGGGTCCCCTAGCTTTTATTTATATATAGTTATCTTTATAATACATGTCATATCCTGAACTACTGTTGAAAAGAGATGAATTAGCCCAAACGGCATGGCTGAGTGGTTGAGCATCGACCTATAAACCAGGAGTTTTCAGTTCAATTCTGGTCAGGGCACATGCCCTGGTTGCAGGCTTGATCCCAGTGGGGGGTGTGCAGGAGGCAGCCAATCAGTGATTCTCTCTCACTGATGTTTCTATTTCTCCTTCTCCCTTCCTCTCTGAAATCAATGAAAATATATGTTTTTTAAAAGAGATAAACATTTGTTTCTTTAACCTAATAGGTGCATGAGTGCAAGGAGTTCAAATGAATGAAATGTGACAGATTGAAGACATAGGCTAGCCCTAGAGGCTGAGGTTTTTTTGTTTTGTTCATTTTTGTTTGTTTGTTAATCCTCACCCAAGGATATTTTCCCACTGATCTTTCAGAGTGGAGGAGAGAGGGATAAACAGAAACACTGATGTGAAAGAAACACATTGATTAGATGCCTCATGCATATGCCCCAACCAGGGCCTAGGCTGGGGAGGAGCCTGCAACCAGGGTATGTGCCCTTGGCTGGAATCAAACCTGGGACCTTTTGGTCCACAGGTTGACACCCTATCCACTGAACCAAACTGGCTAGGGCTAGAGGCTGAGACTTAAATGCAAAGTTTGGTTTGTAGTTATTCCAGCTGGGCCTCTTCACTGTCTGGCGGTGGCGTTGTCTTGGGCCGTCTCCTTCAGAAAACCCGGGACATACTCTTCTCACTGTGCTGCCAGGCCCGGGAGGGCACCCGCTCCCTGCGTGGGTGAACGGTCCTCATGAGAGTGGATTGGCCTCTACAGAAGAGGCTCCCCAGCAGGTGGAGACGCAGCTTTCAATGGCACACAGAAAAGTTTAAAAAAAATCTCTAAATAGCAGACTCTTTTCCTTGTACCTTCAGGAGTGTCTTCTTCAACTACTGAGCAGAGTCTTAAAGTACCTCATACATTTAGGAATACTACCAATGTCTAGGGATCCAGTTGAGAGAAATTTAAAGTAAAGGATGAAGGCATCCTTGATGAATGGGAAAATGAGGCAGAAGATGGGTGAGGGGGAGAGGGAGGAAATTAACTATGTAAGTTAAATCCTATTACCTTCTCGTCCATCTCACTTCTGGCTCCAGGCGGATTCGGAGGACTCGAAGAACTTGGCGTGTCACTAGACTGAAACGATAAAGAGAACAGGAAGTTCTGGGCAGCTCACCAGGCACTGTCTGTGCTTGAAGGGCCGCCCCTCCTCCACACAGGGGCGCAGCTGCCCTCAAAGAGCTGGCAGGGCTCACGGTGGGCACCTGGCTAATGTCCAGGCTCCACAGGACTCCGGAGGCCCAGAGTGTGCCCTCCCCTCCTCCGAGCCCAACACGATACCAGCTGGGCCGTCTCCAACCTCAGTCCCCGGTGTTTCCCGCAGCTGGGAGGCCCGGGGGCTGCCTACAGCCACGGCATCAGTAGATCATCTCTCTTTTATCAGTAAAAGAGATAAATTAAACATTTGTTTCTTTAACCTAATAGGTGCATGAGTGCAAGGAGTTCAAATGAATGAAATGTGACAGATTGAAGACATAGGATAGCCCTAGAGGCTGAGATTTTTTTGTTTTGCTCGTTTTTGAGGCAGGGCTCCAACCTCGGAGCTTGGCTTTGCGGGCCTCCCACCCCTTCACCTGCTAAGCCCTCCTCCCCTTCTCTCTGAGAGGGAAAGAGGCCCTACCAAGGCCACACCCAGAGGGCTGAGCCGAGAAGTGAATGACCAGAGGAGGAGAAACAACTCGGGAAAGAAGGTAGGAGAGGAAAATGGCTGGAGATTCCCAGCCGTGGCTTGGCGTGGGCCTGCCCTGGGCACACCCTCAGGTCCGGCACCTGCACCCTCCTGGTGGCCCGCCACACCTTCTATCTGGTATCCTCAACATTTACAAAAGGGCCTATTGTCCCTTCCAGAGCGGCACTGTCAGCCTGCCCTACCTCAGCCTGTTTTCTGCACCACACTTAGAAGCATCTTTAGAAAACACAAATCAGATTATGTCACTTCCCTGCTCCAAATTACCCAGAGACTTCCTGTTTTAGAGTTCCCCAGTTCCCATGGTCTGCAGGATCCGGCCCCGGGGCCACACGCTCCCCTCCATCGCCCGCAGAGCCCAGCAGACGCCCTGGCCGCCTCCTCAGCACAAGCTCAGCCCCTTCTCTGGGCCTCAGCCTTGCTGCTCCCTCTGCCTCGAGCTTTGGGCAGCGCTGACCTCCTCATCTTTCAACAAGCCACTGCTTTCCCATCACGTGTTTTATTTCATTTTTCTTGATCTGAAATTTTATATACATTTAACTATTTCATTGATAATTTTATTTTTAATCCTCACCTGAGGATATTTTCCCATTGATTTTTTAAATTGATTTTTTAAATATTTTTATTAAATTATCTGTGTACATATTTTAACATTGCCCCCCCCTCCCATACATACCTTCCTTCCCCAGAGTTTTGTGTCCATTGGTTGTACTTATATGCATGTATACAAGTCCTTCGGTTGATCTCTTATCTCCCCCAGATCTCCCTAACCTCCCCGCTGTAATCTGACAGTCTGTTTTACTGTCTTTATATCTGTCTTTTGGATCATCAGTTTATAATGTTCTTTAATAGCCATAAATGAGTGAGGCCATGTGGTATTTCTCTTTCATTGACTGGCTTATTTCACTCAGCATGATGTTCTCTAATTCTATCCAGGTTGCTGCAAATGATGAGAATTCCTTCTTTTTTATGGCAGCATAGTATTCCATTGTGTAGAAGTACCACTGTTTTTTGATCCAATCCTCTGCTGACGGGCACCTAGGCTGTTTCCAAATTCTAGCTATTGTAGATGTGCTGCTATGAACATAGGGGTACATATATCCTTTCTGATTGGTGTTTCTAGTTTCTTGGGATATATTCCTAGGAGTGGGATCACTGGGTCAAATGGGAGTTCCATTTTCAGTTTTTTGAGGAAACTCCACACTGTTCTCCACAGTGGTTACACCAGTCTGCATTCCTACCAGCAGTGCACAAGGGTTCCTTTTTCTCCACAACCTCACCAACACTTGTCGTTTGTTGATTTGTTGATGTTGGCTATTCTGACAGGTATGAGATGGTACCGCATTGTTGTTTTGATTTGCATCTCTCTTCCCATTGATTTTTAGAGAGAATGGAAGAGAGAGGGAAAGATGGAGAGAAATATTGATGTGAGAGAAAGATCAATTGGTTGCCTCCTGCACACACCCTGACCAGGGCCTGGGCCGGGGAGAAGCCTGCACCTGAGGTAGATGCCCTTGACCGGAATTGAACCTGGGACAACTTCGGTCCGCAGGCCAGTGCCCTAGCCACTGAGCTGAACCAACTAGGGCTGAAATTATTATATCTATCTTTGTTGACGTGTATGTTATCTGACTCTCATTACAACATAAACTACCTGGGCAGCCCCCTGTCTAATCTTGTTCACTTCTGTGATACCACAGCTGGGACAGACACTGGATGAACCAATGACCTTCCCTCTCCCCCGGCTCCACACCTTGCCTGTCTCAGGTTGTCAGTGACAGTGTGACCCGTGGTGTCTTTGGGAAACCCTTGCCTGGAGGCTGATGCTGCTGTGCTGGAGGCTGCAGAGGGTACGGCTGGCCATAGGGGGCGGAATGGGCCCATCCCTGCGTCACCACCACTTACACGCCTACAGGTGTGAGCCAGGAGTCGCCAGGGCAGGCCCAGGCAGAGGTGAGCAACAGGCAGGAGTAGTCCTTTCCTTTCCTTCGCACTTTGCTCTGCAAATTCCTCGTCTTTCTTCCTATCCTTGGGCCATGCTAGCTGACAAGCAAGACGGCTGGTGGGAGGGATGCCCATCTTAATAACACTCAACGTCATTGCAGGCATCTTGGAGGCAGAGTGCGAGGATGCTTCAAGGCAGGGAGACTCGGAGCTTCGCCTGGAGAACTCCTTACTCTAGCCCCTTCTCCCAAAAGAGGCCTGAGGGTGTCCCTTCTGCTGCTGGAAGGACTCCCATTTCAGGATATGCTCACGGTGGTTTTTTTTTTAGAGTCAAAAGACCAAGTTTGGCCCTAACTGGTTTGGCTCTGTGGTTAGAGTGGAAGGACTGAAGGACTGAAGGGTGGAAGGTTAGATTCTGGTCAAGACCTTGTACCTTGGTTGCAGGCTTGATCCCCAGCCCCGTTAAGGTGTGTGTAGGAGGCTACCAATCATTGTGTCTCTCTCACATCGATGTTTCTCTCTCTCTCTAACTCTCTCCCTTCCTTCCACTCTCTAAAAAAAAAAAAATCAATGAAAAAATATCCTTCAATGAGGATTAACAACAATAAAAACCCCCATCAAATTCAGAGAGGGCATTGCTGGACCTATGGGACTTTCTTTTCACACTCAGTAGACTTCAGGCTGGTCTGGTAGAGATGTACTGCCTTGTTGATCTACTTCATTCTTGTCTTCCCCTTAAATTAGTCCAATCCAACAAAGGATTGCTGGGGAGACAGAGGTGTGTAAGATGCAGTTTTGTCCCCACGGAACTCAACGTTTAGAGATGGAGAGAAGGCTGTTAGGTGGAGGTAGACAGAGAAGGGCCCGGCTGTGCAGGAAGCACTGAGGGCGCACAGCAAAGGCAAGAGGAGACAGCACAGCAGGTAAGGGGCATGTGGAAGACCCTGGGAAGAGCAGGTGCAAAGAGTGTGTCCCCGCTTCCTCCCCATCCCCCCAACCTTGCTCCAAGATGGTCCCGCTGCAGATGAAGGCACCTGCCCGCTAAGTCCCCACCCTGGGCCACTCAACAGAAAGGCCTCTCCCTCTTCCCCCTGCCCTGGACCCCGGGGTCACTGCTGCCCTGTCCACGGCCCAATGGCCTCCTGGGTTATTAGCAGCCGCGTCGCTGCCGGGCGGTGCCTCACTCTGTTCTCGGCGTCGGAGAGGACAATGTCCTGCGGAGTCACGGGCTCCATGGGGCTGGCCGGGAACGGGTCCTCTTCCAGACTGGCCTCCCCACTGTCCGCCCTCTTCATGGGCGCGGTGGCACTGGGAGGCGGCTGCCCAAACTTGATGTTCTTGCCCAACTGTCGCTGGAGAGGAACACAAGAAAGACGTGCTGAGGGAGCAGCTCGCAGGAGCCGCGGCCAGGTTCCCTGTGCGCCTGGGTGGCCTGAGGCAGGTGCTGTGCACGGGCTGCTCTCCAAACGCTGTGCCCGTACCCGTGACCGCGAGGCAGCCCTGCAGTAAGCGAGTGCATTCCCAGCCTTGGCTCCTTTTCTTTCCCACCTTCCAGCCATGAGCTTTTTGCACCCGGCCACCCTCTTCCATGGAGGTGCCAGTGTTCCAGGGGGCAGAAAGCCCACTTTCTGAACCAAAAGTTGGGATACGTGTCATAGGACAAAAATTTTTTGATTGACCTCAACATCAATTTATAAGGCCTGTTAAAAGTATAAAAGTTGTATAGAATGCCAAAACCGGTTTGTCTCAGTGGATACAGCGTCGGCCTATGGACTGAAGGGTCCCAGGTTGGATTCCAGTCAAGAGCATGTACATTGGTTGCGGGCACATCCCCACTAGGAGGTGTGCAGGAGGCAGCTGATCGATGTTTCTCTCTCATTGATGTTTCGAGCTCTCTATCCCTCTCCCTTCCTCTCTGTAAAATATCAACAAAAAATATATATTTTTAAATTGTATAGAAAATGGCCTCATGAAATGCAAGAACCCCTGGGGGAAATCCAGACCCTAGTAACTGCAACGGGGGAAATGCCACTTTCAGACACATTCCCCCTGAAGGGCTATACTTGGGCCACCTCCCTCACCGGCTTGAACGCTGTGTTCTGGCCACAGTGGGTATCACTGCCAAGGCGACGGAGACGCCAAAGCCAGCGCATCTCTCCATGGCCAATGCTGAAACCCTGGGAGGGACGGAATCCTTGCTTTAGCTGCCCACTGCGAACCAGGGGCCAGAAGACGCTGCGTGGGGAAGGGACAGAGACGTCGGCAGGAGAGGCTGCATTCCGGTGGGTGGTGGCTCACAGGGTAAGGAGAAGGGGTGGGAAAACGGGGGGGCAGAAATTAGGAAGAAAAATAGTAAGCATCTGGGATTAAAGTCAGATGAGAAAGGGAAATATATTCCCTAAAGAAAAATGGATGAACACAATAGCTAAGGAAAGGGCAACATATTTAAGGGGCCATGGCAGAGAAAATGGAAGACATGCAGGAAGAAAAAGCCATCAGCATGGCAGTGTGGGAGGCCACGGAACCGAGTGTGCACTGAGCCGACCATTTACTGCCTTCACCTGGAGCAGGGTTTCAACCTCGGCACTGCTGACCTTCTGGTAATTCTTTGTTGTGGGGAGCTGCCCGGTGCATGATGGGATGTTTAGCAGCACCATGGACACTAGATGCCAGTAGCAATTCCTCTCTCCCCAGCAGAGACAACCCACATTGTCTCCAGATGCTGTCCTATGTCCCCTGGGGAGTAAATTGCCTCCCGCTGAGAACTGCTGCTCTAGATCTAAGTACTTGGGTTTCATAGTCCTTTTATGCCTCAAAGAGAGAGAAAGAATAGGTGATCTGATTTTTACCTCTAATGGGGTTACTATTTAATCCCACAGAGCTGCAAAGAACCTTAGCAATCATACAGTCCAACCCCTCACTTTGCAAACAAATCAGAAGTCCAGCAGGGAGAGGTGACTGGCCCCGGCTTATGGGAAGAATGGGTGGCCCCAAAGGAATGGGAATCTAGGTCTTCAAAACCCGCTTTCAGTGTTATTTTCATTGCACGACACTGGTTCTTATAAATATGACATTGCACTTCCTTCCTACGGGGGCAAGAATAAAAACACGATGCGGCATTTTTATACCTTACTGAAGTATCCTGCTGAGACGCCTCAAAGGAAATACCCCTTTTCCCTCTGAACTCAGGGTACCAAACCCACCCACTGCTGCCCAGCTCCCCCTCAGCCTTGCACAATGGGTGGTGAGACATGAACGAGATGAACCTAACACCAGTACCCCCTGCACCCATCCTTACACCCCAGCATGCTAAGTCAGGAGCACAGAAGACAGGACGTGTATTTGACCCGAGTCTGGCTCCCCGATCCCACAGGGAAAGTGCACATATCAAAGCCTGAGGCCAGCCAATGAAGCGCAGCCTGAGCAGCCTGGAAGGGTTTCGGGGAGGAGAAGGCTGAAAAGAGTGCCTTCCAAAAACAAGTTCAGCAGGAAGCGGCAGTTAGTGTCCACTCTGAGCAGATCAATAAGCAGGCACATCCGAACAGCTGATGGAGTTAGACAAAGAGACACGGTTAACAGTCACGGCCGTCTCGCTCTGCTGCCCGGTGGGAAAGGGCTGGGAACCTGGGCAGAAGAGAAGGGGATGATTCCTGTGGGCGAGGCTCCTGGCCCAGCCTCGGGTTCCCCTGTCACCCCTTCTCTAGGAGTGTTGGCCAAGGTTGACCACGGTTCTAACCCCCTGAGACACACACCTCCAGCTGCCAGGCTCTGCTTCCACTAGGGCTCCTGGAGGAGACCATGAGGGGATTTCTTCTACTCACAACGGAAAGAATAATTCTGTAACCAGCTCGCAGGGAGAACCCGGCCTAACACGACCAGCATAATGCCACGTGGTGGGGATTTATGCCACCATCACAAAAAGGAAGGTGCGTGCCAATATTTCACTACCTTGGGGCCCCTTTAAGAATCTGGGTGCTGGTCCACCTGATCCTTAGAAGACAAAAAAGAACATGGCAAAATGTAATCACAGTCTCCCAAAGATGGGATGTCTATCGTGGCTATCAATGGGAAAGGAAGGAGGACATGGAAATAAAACCCAAACTGAGTAGGAGCAGGACAGAGGAGTAAGGATCACTGGACAAAGCTGGGAAAGGGCCAGAGCAGTGTTGGGCACTGCAGTGGAAGGTTAGAGGAAAGAGGCCAGCAGAGAGGAGGGTGCAGGGTGAGAGGAAATGCACGGAGAGAAGGAGTGACGAGGGCCCAGGAAGAGCTGTACCCCTGGCTGCAGGTACCACAGCTGAGGCTGCTGGTGGGGAGGGGCAGGAGGGAGGGATGTGGATATCAAAGGATTGATGTGTCACCAACATGTCCATCCTGCCAGAAGAAACACATGCTGCCTTTGTCCACAACAACGTGCATCTCCGTAAAGGAGCTGATTCAAATTCCCTCCAGAGAAAACGAGTGCAGGCCTAGAGGGGGCCTAGGAGGAGGCATTGGGGTTGGAGGACGGGAGGACACAGGTCATCAAAGAAATGGTGGCCACCGTTTAGGGATTGGGCAAATCTCCCTGCCCAGACCAAGGGCTGCCTCTTTACAGACACTCCCTGCGGCTGTCAGAAATGAGACCCACAGCCAGGCAGGACTTGGGGTCCAAGGCCATGGTGGCTGATCCTCAGGCTCTCGAGGTCAAGGCTCCTGCATCTGCACACGCTCCCTTCCCTGCAGTCCTGCTCTAAATGCTTCCTTCAGCTGACTGGACAGAGACGGGGCTGTCACCACTCTGCGACTTACTGACACTGAAAACGTGATTGCTAAAACCTACTTGGCAATCTTAGGTGTGGTGTGAATTGAATGGAGGGTTAAGTGGCTTTTGTGTGTGTGTGTGTGTGTGTGTGTGTGTGTGTGTGTGTGTGTGTGTGACTATTTCTGCTCACTCCTCAGGTATTGTTACAGAGAAACTGATACACGCAATCACTGAAAAACGGACTGCTAAGACGAGCCTGCCCTTAAGTTACAGGGCAACAAACTACTACCACTCTCTCCACTCCCCACTCCCCACCTCCCCAATACCCATGGACCTTTATACACACTGCGGTCATAGCCAGAGGGGAGAGTAGAAAGCAGTGCCTATCCTGTGAGTCCTTGCTGCTGATGGCTATGAATGGTGTTACTGTTGAGCCTGGAATGTGAGCAGAAAGGGCCCATATTTCAGTCCTTCAAACGGGGCCATTTTTCTGTAATATGGAATGCTGGAGAACGATGCTATAGGAATGCACATCCATATGGATGAGGCTTTCCTCATGGTGTGGGAATCCCAAGCATGTCATATCCTGCAGCCCGTACACTGCCAGTGTTTGGAGTCCCCCAGATTTCTCATGCCTCAGACCATGTCTGCAAGAATGAAGTGGAGGAAAAATGAAGTTGCTGTCTTCTTGAGCGAACTATGGGTACTCCCACAGTTGAAACAAGCAAAAAAGGAAAAAGAGAGAAAGCATTCGGATTTAAAGACGCCTGCTCTGTGAAGAAGTGGCTAAGATGGGTGTCAAAATCCTCATGCGTATGACCCTTCGGCATTTTTACATGAAATCCAGCTCAGCAGGAGAGAGCAGCTACTGAGGATGGAGGTTTTCCCTCCTGAGCTAAACAGTTAGTGGACCAGTGGGCATTGCTGACAAAGCGGTGGTATAATTCTACAAACTGTCTGCAGGCTTCGACCGTGGTGTTCCCAAGCGCTATCATTAGTTGGTAGACACTTCTCAGCCTGGTCTGACTTAAGATATACAGGTACCTCTCTGACCTGTGCTCTGGCAGCGGCAGGAAGGAAACAAGGCCATTGAAGTCCAAATGCAAGGAAGGGCCGAGCTTACAAAGCCACTCCGTGTTGCACCAGACGAACAGTGACTCAATGGTCCACCGATTTGCTTTATTCAGAAAAGTGTAGGCTGGTTGATGCTGCATTCAGCCATTCAGTACTCTGTAGAGATACTGTTTCCCCAACCCCTCAACATAGACAGTTTTAGCTGCGATGACTACACGTTACCACTAGAGGGCAACCTTTCCAAATGCATTCATTACGGGCACTGTTCTGGGGGTTGCCAAGTGCTGGGAAGTTTCTTAAGCCAGAGGAAAATGTGTTTTCTTTTGTCTTAATGGCATTCCAGGAAAAACCTAATTTCAAAGGAATGTCTTAATAATGGAGGTAATTAGCTTGCCAAGACATGTACTGTCAGATAGGTTTATCCATTACTCGTCTCTCTCTCTTTTAAATATAAACATACGCAGAAACACAAAGACAAATTTCAGACATTAAAAAAAAAAAACAACATACATGCCTCTGACATAACTAAACACCCTTATTCCATGCTGGAGCCTATGAAGGGTGGTCTCTTATGCTGCTTACTAAGCACCAATGCCAGCATAACATTGTCATGAAAAAATGCAAAGCATTCATGCAATTTAGTACAGTCAACTACTATTTCTGTGACTTACCAGGAACATACTGCTTAGTCGACTGAAAAATAAAGCACAGTCTTTTGGGGGTGATACAGTTTCATCTTAAGTCACTCCAAAAATTACATTTTCTATGACAATGGTCCCCTGTGTCCCTTCTCGAAGAGCAAAGCCCTTTATTTTGTTTTTGTTTTTTAAAAAATAGAACTATAGAGCTGTAAGGAAGCTTGTGATTTCAGATAACAGAAGCAAAATTAGGAAAACCTCGTATGAGTAGCTATCATCCAAAGAGAGCATGCCAATGAGATAGTTATTTTACTTTACTTACATGTTCTCTTCCTGTGTTAATAGAATTGTAGCTTCGGGGCAGTTGGCTGTTTCACATTTTATTACCTGTGAGATCAGATTCTTTAAAACTGTGCCTCATAGGGATGAATAACAGGCGGTCCCATAAGTCCTACGATTTTCAATCCTGTAGAATCCCCCACCATTTACAACTCCACGTCCACTTCCTGGTGGGGCGGTAGCATGTGCTGTGATGTGACACAGCAGGTATCACTTAAGACACTAAATGATCTACTACCGTGCTTCCCCGAAAATAAGACATCCTCCGAAAAAAAGACCTAGCGCAACTTTGGGAGAAAAAATTAATATAAGACACTGTCTTATTTTTGGGGAAACAGGGTATCTACGTTTTAAAGAACTCCTCATAAAACATAGCTGTCGCCCGGCCAGTGTGGCTCAGTGATTGACCGTCAACCTAGGAACCAGGAGGTTACGGTTTGATTCCCGGTCAAGGGCACATGCCGGAGTTGCATGCTGGAGGCAGCCGATCAGTGATTCTCTCTCATCACTGATGTTTCTCTCTCTCTCTCCCCCCTCCCCCCTTCTCCTTTCCTCTCTGATATCAATAAAAAAAATATTTAAAAAAACCAAAAACACAGCTGTCTTGTGGACTGGAATCTGTAAGTCACTCCTCTTGGAAAGCAGCTATGATAAGACAGGGGTTCAGAACCCCTAAGGAATAATATTCCAGGAATCACAATATTTCAAGAAGGAAAGGTAAAAAGGGGAGGGTGTGGTGTCAAGGTTTTCTTTGGCCATCATCACCCTTCCCTCTTCCCTCGATGAGAACGGACAGGCTGCTTTCCTTCTGAGTCTGTAAGACGTGTGAATGCGCGGCCCCCCAGAGCCAAGGACGTGGCGGGACCGCAGGCAGGGCCCGGGTACGTGCTGGGCAGGACGGTGGCCTTGGGCGGGAGGAATAAGGACCTGGGCGAGTTGGGCGTGGTGCCAGGGTGTAGGCTGTTTCCCTGCTTGCCATATGCCTTGTTCGGCTGAGCGCGTGTGGGGAATATGTGACCAAACTCTGATCACAAAATACGTAATGTTCAGCAGAAACAAGAACATTTCAAGAAAACAGAAAATGCGAGTACAATGCTTCATCCTGTCAGCAGCTACTCAAGCCAGCTGTCTACTCTCCTCCCCGCCTTTTTTTTTTTTTTTTCCCCCTCACTCACTCACTCTTGCAGACTTACAGACAGAGGGAAAGCAGCACAGCGGGAGTCCCCTGTTCATGATGTGGATCGCCTCCAGGCACCCTGCCTCAGAGAAGTGCCTGCTTAGGCCTGTCTGTCAGGTGAGTGAATTCTTCTAACCCAGTGGTCGGCAAACTCATTAGTCAACAGAGCCAAATATCAACAGTACAACGAGTAACATTTCTTTGGAGAGCCACATTTTTTAAACTTAAACTTCTTCTAACGCTACTTTTTCAAAATAGACTCGCCCAGGCCGTGGTATTTTGTGGAAGAGCCACACTCAAGGGGCCAGAGAGCCGCAGTTTGCCAACCACAGTTCTAAGCAGTCAGGCAAACCTACACAGTCAGATCCCAGGTGTCTTCACTTCCTTGCTTTCCCCGGGGTCCCCATGGGCTGAACCGCTTCTGGTGAGGAATTATTTGATCATACAGTTGACCCCTGAACAACACGGAGGTTAGGGGTGCCAATCCCCACGCCACTGAACATCCACAAGTAACTTCTTTCCCAACACGTAGCTACTTACAGCCTCCTCTTGATCAGAAGCCTTACCAACCACACACACTGATGAACACACACATTTGTATGTTTTATGTACTACACACTGTGTTATTACAGTAAAGTAATCTAGAGAAAAGAGGTTATTAAGAAAATCGTAACAGAAATACATTTACAGTATTTATTGAAAAGAAGTCTGTGCATAAGTGGACCCACGCTGTGCAAACCGTATGTTAAAGGGTCAGCTGTATCTCTGGGACTAAGGAGTCGCCGCCTGGGTTAGTTTTTTTTGTAGGAAAACTGCCCAGCTCTGCAGCTGAACCCGATGGGTGGGGTGGGGTGGGGTGGGCTAAGAGCTCCATGGTGTTCCTCTGAGCCCAGGCGGCCCAGGGGGTGACAGCTTTATGCACACAACAGAGTGAGAGGCTCCGGCATTCACTGCCCAAGCAGGGAGGCCTGGAGAGTGAACACCTGCTGTGCAAACCACCCACAGTCAGTCAGCCCTGAACTTGGGGGTGATGGCCAGCACCTCACGGTTAGTAACTCCTCCCCTCCCAGTCCTGCAGCTTCTCTTGGGTACCTGTCCTCGTCATGCCCACTTACCACTGAGGGACAGTGTGGGAGAACAGGAGAGGGGGGTGTTATGAAGGTGGGGACAACGGTGATGAGGTACCCTTCACAGGGGACAGACGGTTTAGAGAACTAACTCTAGTTAAAAAAAAAAAAAAATTCTCCCCAGGAGCTCCCTCTGGACCTCCCCATCCACCCCTCAGGGCTGAGCCGGGAATCTCCCGGCTCCCTCCCCAGCCAGGCCTGCCGGCGCCTGCGGCTCCAACCTTCCCGCCTCAGGCTGTCTTACCTGAAGAGTTTTGACTTTGCCCAGGATGTTGTCCTGTGACATTGCTTGAACTGTCTGCTCACTTTCTGCTCCCCCATCAGGGATAAAAATACTGTCATGGGAAAGCGCCCGGGCTCCCATACAAAAGCTGAAGGACCTGGAATGCAAATCATGTGCTTCGTTTTATTAGGATGATAAAATTCCTTCTGGCAACAGGGTCCCGCTCCCCCTGATTGGGGGACTCCACCCGCATCCCCGGCTCGCCCCGCCCTGTGTCCGCTGCCGCCGCGGGTCAGCCAAGGAGCTGGGCAGACGGGAGGGTCCCCGGGGATCAGGGAGCATGCCTCCGACACACAGCCTTCCAGCGCCGCTCACGGGAACTCAGGCTGCTCTTTACTGATAGAGGCCCCTGCGGAAGGCACTGCGGAAACTAACTGGAGGGGCCTTCCTTCCCCCCGACCTTCCCCCCCCCCCCCCCCCCCCGCCCCCAAGGAGCCGTCATCACAATCAATTCTACCCCAGCAGGTCCTGTCAACCAGCACTTTTTAATTTTATTTTATTGATTTTTTTTTTTTATACAGAGAAAGGGAGAGGAATAGTCTCAGAAACATCAATGAGAGAGAGACATCAATCATGTGCCTCCTGCACACCCCCCACCGGGGATGCGCCCGCAACCAAGGTACATGCCCTTGACTGGAATCGAACCCGGGACCCTTCAGTTCACAGACTGACGCTCTATCCACTGAGCCAAACTGGTTTCAGCAACCAGCACTTTTCAAATAACATTCGGACCTAGAAGAAGTAAGAGACACGAGTTTCTTTCTTTCAGATTACAATGAAATTCGAAGACGGCTCCATACATCCAGACCAAGGACGAGAACTGCCAATAGGGGCTACGGGAATAAAGCAGCTCTCTCGCAACGGCCTAGACGCTCAGAGAGTGTGGATCAGGGCAACCTCGAGGGGCCTCCGGCATGGGTCAGCTTACAGGTGGCAGGCAGCCAACAATAAACACTTCAGGGGAAGGCTTGGGCTTCGAGAAGTCCAGGCTTCTACCTGACAGGGGGGTAGAGGCAGGGCGACCTGCAGGAACGGGAAGCAGCAAAAGCCAACTGCTCTCCCTTGATCTGGGAAACAAACTTATTTCTGGGGAATCCACACCCAGGCTGTTCACAGGGCAGGGAGAACCGCATGCCCTCCATGAGGCAAGGCAGGCACTCCACGCTGCCAGGCACGAGGGCGGCTCCCCCAGGGTGACTGACTGAGTGCCACTCCCCCACCCCTCCTCAGAGCGGGGCCCATTGGAGGTTGTATCAGTGACCAAGTGCCAAATGCAGCGGGCAGGGTCCCAACCAAGGGTAGACTCCTTAGTTGTGCAGACCGAGCACCAAACCACAGGCAGCATGGCGAGGAAGCACGTGAGGCTGAGAAACAGAAGACCTGGATGTGAACCCCCTGGCTCTGAAACAAAGAGGAGGTCCAGGAAGGCGAAGGGAGAGACTGGATCAGGACAGAGCTGAAACAACTCGGGCTCCTCCCTCACAGCGGACAGGTCTTCCACTTGAACACAGTGCTCATAGGCGCTTGGGTTTCTTTGGGAGCAAAGATGCTATGTGAGCAACAGCTGCGGGACCATGACAAGAGGGTAATGTGAAGAGAGTCCCAGTCCACCCACAACTGCAAATCTTATACAAACTTAGGTAAACTAGTTTTATTGCTTAAACACCAAATCTTTTAATACTAAATAGGATGCCAGAATCCATGAATTTTTTCATATTTACACAATACTGACAGAGACTTTTTTACTGTAGGAAAATAAAATATATATAAACATAAAATTTACCATTTTAATTATTTTTAAGTATACTGTGTGTTTTTTTTAGTGCCATTAAGTACATTCATATTGTTATTCAACTATCACCACCATCCATCATCCTAACCTGAAATGCCCATACTCGTTCAACAGTAACTCTTCATTCTCCCTTCCTCCAGTGCCTGATAACTATTATTCTCCTTTCTATCTCTATGAAATTTGACTATCCCATGTACCTCATATAAGTGGAATCATTTAATACTTGTGCTTTTGTCTGGCTTATTTCACTTAGCATAATATCCTCAAGGTTGTAGCATGTGTCAGAATTTCATTCCTTTTCAAGGCTAAATAATTTTGGGATATATATATATATCGCATTTTGTTTATGCATGTACCTTTGAGTTATTTCTACCTTTTGGATATTGTGAATAATGCTGCTGTGAACACTGATGTATTAATCAAGATTTTTAAAAATGTATGAATGTAGCATTATGACGCATAACTATGTGTAGACATGGCTGAAAGAGTAGGTAGGTGTTCCATAAGTCCTCATTTCACACCAAAGATTTGACAACACTTTCATATCCTCTACCCACTTTAAACAGTCACTGTCTGTAAAGATTAGTAGAGACTACAGGACAGGAGAAGAAAAAGGAAGAGGAGGAGGAGGAAAAGAAGGAGCTAGAGGAGGAAGGGAAAGAAGAAAAGAAGAGAGGTGGTGAGGTGGAGGAAAATGAGAAGAGAAAAAGAAGAGGAAGAGAATCCCTCATGTCTGCCCCCAAACCTGGGAAATTCTGAAACGCAGTACGAATTCCTGAAAGGCTGACCTGGGTGTCTGATTCTCAAGAGCGGCAGCTCCTGGTTTCCACCTCCGCCCTCCGCCACAGGAGGCTTAAACACCAGGAACAGACCTACTGACTGGAGAACAGAAGCTTCTAAATCTAAGGGGAAGTGCTGTATTAGCACTAAGACGAGTTGGAGTGGCTTAGGGGGTCCTACATCTTATCACATTCAAGCCCTTGCACCTAAGTCAATATGGCTTTGGAAGGACAGGAGAAAAGAGACGCTGCTGTTTCTCCCCTCCTCCACCTCCTCCTCTTTTACTTCCCCAGAGATGGCAGGACTGTCATAATTCTACCTAGAGGCTATGGGAAGCTTCTTAAAAATCAGTAACACAGGACTCACGGGCACACTTTGGCGGCACACAGACCAAAACACAGGGTTGTCTGAAGGGCCTAAAGGTTGTGAATGATCTCAGGAAACACAGCTGGGCCTGGATGGGTTATCCCATGCTGCTATAGCGCACAGACATTGTTATGCTAATGACCATGCCAAAAGCAACATAAAGTTCATACTTCTTAAGCTTTTACTGTCATTATTATTTCTGATGTTGAAAGCATGTAAGACTTACAAAAACACTGCGAGTGTAGCGTGAAGAACTTTTGTTTTCCTAGCCCCAGCTGCTGGCAGGATGCTCTCACTCTGAAGCCAGGCAGGCAGCGGAGGCTCATGCATTGAAGATGTGAGAAACCGCACGGAGGAGTGGAGGAATTCCGGAGGACAACTGAAGGGCCAGTGAGCGTACCATTGGTCCTTTACCTTGAGCGGACTGGAACATGACTGCCATCTGTAGATGATCTTCAACTGAGGCCCTCTCCAATCTTCTCTCTAAACATACGTTCATCTTAAAGTAGTTAACTCATAGCTCAGAAACTTCCAAGGATTCCTTGTTGCCCAAACCCTACCGGATGAGGCTGCCATGGTGGCTTATCCTTTCAGGCTCTTCAGAGTGGGGTTCTACACTACTCTGGGCAGGCCAGTGCCCTTCTCTGTAAAGGGGAGTGTCAAGAGGTCCTACCTCACCCACTTTTTAGGATTTAAATGAATTCTGAAATGTAAAGCACTTAGAATAGTGTAAATGCTTATGCATTACCCGTTATTTTCCAAAGTCCCCCTACTTCAACCCCGGCCACTCAGCTCCCCAAATATCCTCTCTGGGCTTCGTCACTGCGTAGGCTCTTCCTCTCCAGGGGCGGCCTAAGGCCAGTCTCTCAGTTCAGGTCCTACGCACCTTTCACGGTCCAGCTCAGACATATAACTCCACACAGCCTTTTCCGCTTCCCTGGGAGAAAAGGATCCCTTCTGTCCCCCAGGATATATATGCGCGTGTATTTCTTGCTGTTTCATGTTATGGCTACTATAACCATGCCTTGAATGAGAGGGAAAATAAAAGTGTTCTGCATATTGTAAAGTGCTAGACAGATGTGACTCTAATAATGATGGTATCACCTTCTCTCCACCACACTACGAGTTGCATGAGGGCAGGGATCACACGTATGATCTTTCTTTCTCCCAAAATCCTTTATACAGTAAAATTTGTGATGAGTAAATGGTTAATAGTGTAGGGTGGTTCGCTTATCAGATGGGTTTCCCATGGAGAGGTCACTGAGGGAATGCAACGCTTGAGGCAAACATGTTGATGGGAGGATGGGACTATTTTGAGATCGTGAGTACATCTCAGGGAGGGCAGGCCCATGATAGGAGGGCATTGTGGAAAGCTCCGAGAAGCCAGGGGGTGGGCAATTCAGGAGGATGTTCAGCATCTCCTTTTAAAAAGTTTCTTCTGAGCCTCCTTTTCAATCCAAACCAGGAAACTGCTCCAGGCTTTGCTTCCCACCTTCTACTGCAAACCTCCCTCTCACCAAGTTTTCCTGGTTCCATTCGGTGTCAGCTACTGTGCTGAGTCACAAGCAACAGAAACTATGTCTCACTCAACCAAAAGATTATTTATTGGAAGAACAATGGGGCTCCAAGAGCAGCGGAAGCTAGCGATGAGGCTTGGAAAGTCTAGGCATTAGGACCCACAGCAACCAACCAGTTAGAGTCTGGTTACAGAAAGCTCTCCTATTGTCTCCCTTACATCCTGACCCAACTCTCAAGTCAAAGCCCAGGAGAGAGACTGATTGGCCAGGCCAGGTCATGTGCTCAGGCCGGGCTGCAGTGGGGAGGAAGTGGCCCTTTGGCTTCTGTCATAGGAAGCTGGTACTATGTCCTATCAGAGTTAGGTGGAGCGAGCTAAGCTTGATTCCCTGAAAGGAAATTTGGGTGCCGTTGAGAAGGGGAACCAAATGGTAACAGCTCGGTTACTAAAAATAGCCACCAGTCACCACACTGTGCGTTGGGATGTGGGCCTTGATTCTTTCCAATCTAGCCCAATTGGATGGACAGCTATTTGTACAGCTCCCCCACGTTTTGATTCTCTTTGGAGATGTTGCCTTTCTTTCCTGGTGGCATATGATGCTGCCTGAGAGCAAAGATTGCCATACTCCATGCTACTGGGAGTG